CCACTATATCAACTGATAACAAACGGAATTTTAAATTGTCTTATTTTTTTATTTTTCTTGTGTGCTTATAATGTGAATAAATAATGTATAAAAAAAATTATAATAAAAATATTTCACTTCATGTCCCTTGACCAGAATAGCCCAATTAATTAAATAAACGTTTTTTTCAAGATAATGCCTTTGAAATAAGAAGTCATAATTCTCTACCACCATGATAACGCATCCCATATAGTCATTGCAATGAAAATCATTGACAAGCAGCTTAAAGCGAAGATATCCTAAACCCTCATATTTTTATTGAGTGTTTATTCGGCAGCCGATTAATTTCGAGGCTGCACTCCTGAGACTGAATGATTTATGTGCAAACATTGCCGTCACAAAAAAATATTCCCCCAAAATTATAACTTGAAGCTTAAAGTTCTATATGAACTAGACAACATTAGTCATAATTAATGAGCATATTTTAATAATTTAATCAATTTTCTAGCATCCAAGCATCGATTCAAAATTTAGCCATTTGAATCAATAAAAGAGGAGATCGGGTGTATTTTTAATTATTTGATACTCATTTATACTTAAATGAATAAGTAGTGGTAGTGCATTTTGTATATGCTTCGGAATATCCTTCGTTGTTGAATCTGGTTTTATAACAACACATAAAAAATTAAAAGTATAATGAAAAAATGAAAACAATGAAATTATTGTTTCAAATGGCAGGCTTTATGATATTCATGATTAGCCCCTTAGTTGATTTCAGCTTTTCTAAATGAGGGTGGATACATATACAGCAGAACATTTGATGTTTTCCTGTAACCCAGTATCTCTGCGTTAACGTCATTATCTTTACAGCTGGACACCAAATCAGACAGGTCTTCTCCATTACCTTTTGCAGGTTACATAGGGGGCATGTTAGTTGAGTGCTTACACCTAATCTATGAAGGTGCTTTTGGCAGGATATCCTGCCCGGTACTTAGTCTAAATTCAGCAACGAGTTCGACTCTTGGCCAGTTTTTTTATGTTGAAGAGTGCCACTGGCTACTATTTCTAATTTAGAGGACCTTTAAGTTTGTGTCACCTTGAATTTTCTCTTGATTAAGGTCTTTATGAAGTGGAAAACATCGGCTGGTCTATGCATTACTTAAATGATGTCTCTTTCGTTGCATGTTCGTCAACAAGCTCATTGTCTTTACTGCCACAGTGGCCAGGAATCCATTGAAGGATCACTGTTTTGTTTTTATCACACTCATAAACTGATACATTTTTTAATTTCGTACATCTCAGCTTTTTGGGTGGCTCTTTACTTCCATTTAAGATTATTGCTGACTGTGCTGCCAAAAGATTTACTGATTTTGTGAAATTCGTATCGAGGCAACATAATTCAATTAGAACTTTAGGAACGGCCTCAATGAATATGTGCATTAAAGCTTATTCCTTGCTCTATTAATTGATTATTCGAAATAAGGACAAAAATTGTCCCAGAATCATGAAATAAACTAAAACTTTTAATTGTCTGCTAACGGCTTTAGAGCTTGGGATGAGTTTCATTGTAAACATTTGCACAAATTGAAACTTGTAAGAAATTGCCCTTAATCCATGACTGAGAAGATAGAAATTTGCTTTGGCGAATTGAATTAAGTGATTTAATATTTGTAGAAAAGGGGTGCGCGATAGACTTACCTTCTCGTGGCGCACCCTGGACAACGTATTTTCTTACGGCAAAAAAGTCTATCACTCGGCATTCGTTTTTGACTTCGATATATTATGATTAGCCCATACGTTTTTGACTTCGATTAATTATGATTAGCTTTGAACTTCGATATATTATGATTAGCTTTAAAAAAGGCTATAAGAATAATTGCCCTCGTCAGGGCGAATCACAACGTCTCCAGATCCTTCAGTGGAATACTGGAGGAATGTCTCCGTACAAAAAGATCCAAGTACAGAAAATCCTACAAACCTATGATGTAGACATTTTCACAATTATGGAAGCTAACATTTTGGACGACAAACTGAAGTGCTACCAATTCCTAGGTTACACCCTATACAATCTACCTAAATACCGGCAAGTTGCAAGTGGAATTCTAACTGGAGTAAATGAAGGCCTCACCTCACACTACGACCTAATCAAGAGTATGGGCTTGACACAAGACAAATGTGAAATAATCAGATTAAATGTTTGGAAATGTCAAAACCAATTCAAGATATATGCAGTCTATAATCCACCTCAGAATTGTCTAAACTTTGAATTTCTGATCATCTCAACCAAAACTATGGTATTAGGAGACTTCAACGCCCATTCCACCAGATGGGGCTACAAGGTGTCCAAACATTGACTTTCTGAACATCTCACACAAAACTATGGTATTAGGAAAATGCAGTCTATAATCCACCCCAGAATTGTCCAAAATTTGACAGCAGTCTATAATCCACCCCAGAATAGTCCCAACTTTGATTCTTCCGAACATCTCACACAAAACCATAGTATTAGGAGTCAACGCCCATTCCACGAGATGGGGCTATAAGAATACAAACATAGCTGGAGGGGCTACAAGGATACAAACATAGCTGAAAAGGAAATTGAAATACAAGGCTACAAACATAGCTGGAAAGGAAATCGAAGACATGCTAAACAGCAAACCTCTTGAACTAGGAAATTGAAGACATGCTAAACAGCAACCCTCTGAAACTTAACAGCAATGAGGATCCGGCTACATATTTGCACTACAATGGTACCAGAACAACCCTGATTTACTCTTGGCTTCAAACGACATCCGTGAGCATACTTGCCGCAAAATAATTGACGATCGTGGTTTTGGTCACAAACCAGTCATTGCTAGTATTACCATCGGCAGCATAAGCATGTCAAAGAAAGTGCCAACTAAGCTATCATGGAACTTCAAGAAGGCTGACTGGTCTAGATTCACAAACCTTTTAGAGAAAGAACTTCACACAAGTCCCCTCAACTTCAACCAACATCATGACAAACCCTGCACTTCTATCACGAATATTATGAACAGATCTGCAAAGAAAACTATTTTCCGAGGCAAAACTAAACACTATCAAGTGTTATGGTCTAAACACCAAAAGAAACTGAAAAGAAAGCGGGACGCCCTTCGCAACACTGCTGATCAGACTGGAAGAACGGAAGACGTAAAAGCCTGGAGACGACAATCAGCTTCTGTTCTAAGACAAGCCATCTTACAAGCTAAACGGACTTCCACTATGGCAAGCCATCTTGCAAGCTAAACGCACTTCTTTCGAATCATCTCAAATATCAACTATCAAATTGATAGCCAACGTACGTTCAAATTTCTGAAAAACTGTAAAACAACAAAGACCCAAGAAAGAACCAATTCGCTTAAACAGCAAATTGCTTACCAACGACACCGAAATAGCTAACTGCTTTGCGAGGTTCTATTCCCATAAGCAAAAGAAAAACCCTTTTGTCAGAAAATCTTCAAGAGATTTAAAGATACAAGTGAGACAGTT